AGTATGAGTTGTTAAAGGGTTACCAATCTACACTCACGTAGGAAATATGATTAAATACATTGTAAAAACAATGTATCGCAAAGGAAGTAACTACACAAATTTTGAAGTAAGAAATTAGCTTAAGGCAAGAAAAGACATTGGGTGGGAAAGCAAACAAAAGTCTGTGAAGGAAATAAAAGACATTACATGTAGGAAGTAAAATTACAAACTGATCAAGGAAGTATAAAACTTACCATGACCTACATATCAAAACAAAAAATGTACAGGGTGATCCAAAATTATCCTTCCTAATTTTAACATTTATTAATTAAGTAACTAAAGAAATAGAATCATGTAGTTTTCAACACCCTCTGACCGAACTCAAACAGTTTCTGTTGATATGCGTAGAAGTCTACTGATGTTTGTACCGAGAGCCACTAACAGTGCACAGTTTCTGTTGATATGCCAGTAGACTTCTACGTGTGCACTGTTAGTGGCTCTTGGTACATCCAACCAATATACGATTTCAGTTCATGTTTGCTGCAACATGTCCACGGTTACAGTGGTGATGGCATCCGTTATCCTGGTCTTTTGCACGTTGATGTTTGCTATAGGTGTGTGATACACAATGCCCTTAACATACCCCCTGAGAAAGAAGTCTAGTGGAGTAATGGATGTGGCCCATCCAGCAAGCCAAATGACATATTGAGATTCTCATGTTACTGGAGTGAAAGAAAACAAAAATTGATAATACAAACTGTTTGAATTTGACTGCAAGATGTTGAAAACTGCATGGTTGTACTTCTTTAGTTATTTAATTATTAAATTTTAAACAGGAAAGATAATTTTGGACAATCCTGTATAACTATTAAAACATTACAATGAAAATGAGGAGGGTAATGGTGGAGTCATCGGTAAAGAAGATCAAGTGAAGTGTTAACTCTATTTAAAGTAACTACCCAGTATACTAAACATCGGGATTCGATACCCCTGGTAGGCTTAGCACATATAACCCATTGTGTAGCTTTGTGCTTAACTACAAACAAATAAAAGCTTTTATTAATTCTCTTTCAACTTTAGAGGGACAAAACATTAATTTGATGATTAGTTTGATTGAATTGTTGATGAAAAAATATTTTTTTGGTTCTAATGGAAGATTTAAGATTATTACACTGTCCTATAAAAATAGCTTGGACTTGTCCTACATACTGCAACTTACATTTGATAAGATAGTTAATGTGCTTATCCCTTATAGTAGCCACAAGTAAAATATCTGCTTATCCTTTATAGTATTACTATGTAACAGGAAAATATCTGCTTAGCCTCAATAGTATCGCTGTGTGACAATTTTAAGTAAATAATCAGCTTATTCTCTATCATCTCACCATGTGACAAACAAATAATCTGTTTATCCTCTATCATCTCACCATGTGACAAACAAATAATCTGTTTATCCTCTATCATCTCACCATGTGACAAACAAATAATCTGTTTATCCTCTATCATCTCACCATGTGACAAACAAATAATCTGTTTATCTTTTATCATCTCACCATGTGACAAACAAATAATCTGTTTATCCTTTATCATCTCACCATGTAACAAACAAATAATCTGTTTATCCTTTATTGTCTCACCATGTAACAAACAAATAATCTGTTTATCCTCTATTATCTCACCATGTGACAAACAAAAAATCTGTTTATCCTTTATCATCTCACCATGTGACAAACAAATAATCTGTTTATTCTCTATCATTTCGCCATGTGACAGACTAGTTTTTCTATCTGTGTTTGTTGGAAAATTAATCACTAGTCTTCCCTACTAGATGGCAGCAGGTTAGAGTCGATGTTTTGACTGTATTTAATGTAAAAGTAACCAAAACTCTTTACCACTAGATGGCAGAAAGTTATAATTGTTATTTGTGAATGATGTTGTCATGTGACGCAGGAGTCAAGGAGAAAGATATAAAATTATAAGTAAAATAAGATAATATGTGGGGTAATGTTTATGCGTTTCGTTTGCTTTGGAACCATTTAACATATATATATATATAAATTTAATAAATTATAATAAAACTGTTCAAAAGCATTAAATCAAGTTGCAGAGTTGGTCGTAGATTTCTTTTAAATCTTTTGGAGTATAATAATTGATTGATTTGTTTTCAAACTTAGGTTTCCCAGGGACAAAGTTACTCTAGATATTGACTACCAGTTTCTATGGGGATCGGCGTTGTTAATTTCACCTGCCGTTTTCAAGGTGAGTTAAGTAAGTAAAAAGAAAAAAAACTAGAAAAAGTATGTAATACTGCGTTTTATTCCAACACTAGCACAGAGTGTTCTTCTAAGTCTATCATGTAATACTGCGTTTTATTCCAACACTAACACTGAGTGTTCTTCCAAGTTTATTTCGTCATTAATATTGAGTGTTCTTCTAAGTTTATTCTGACACTAGCACTGAGTGTTCTTCCACGTTTATTTCGACACTAACATTTAGTGTTCCTCAAGTATATTTCGATACTAACATTGAGTGTTTTTCCACGTTTATTTCGACACTAACACAGTAAAACTGAGCACTACGACAAGACACCGAAACACTAACACAGAGTGTTCTTCTAAGTCTACATGTTTATGTAGAACTTCACTGAACTGAGAGATAGGATTCATGTTTATGTAGAACTTCACTGAACTAAGAGATAGGATTCATGTTTATGTAGAACCTCACCAAACTCAGAGATAGGATTCATGTTTATGTAGAACTTCACTGAACTCAGAGATAGGATTCATGTTTATGTAGAACCTCACTGAACTCAGAGATAGGATTCATGTTTATGTAGAACCTCACAGAACTCAGAGATAAGATTTATGCTCGGGTTTAGCCTTATTTTCGTAACTTTTCTAATTACAGAGGTTTAGATTAAGATAATAATCAGTGTCTGTATTTTATTATCTATATATCTATTATTTTATCTATACTTAGTTTAGCATAGAGTGAAAGATAAATCCAATGACACTAACACTGAGTGTTCTTCTAAGTCTATCATGTAATACTACGTTTTATTCCAACACTAACACTCAGTGTTCTTCTAAGTCTATCATGTAATACTGCGTTTTATTCCAACACTAACACTGAGTGTTCTTCTAAGTCTAGTATGTAATACTGCGTTTTATTTCAATCCTATCTCTGAGTTCAGTGAGGTTCTACATAAACATGAATCCTATCTCTTAGTTCAATGAGGTTTTACATAAATGTGAATCCTATCTCTGAGTTCTGTGAGGTTCTACATAAATGGAAATCCTATCTCTGAGTTCAGTGAGATTCTACATAAATAGGAATCCTATCTCTTAGTTCAGTGAGGTTCTACATAAACATGAATCCTATCTCTTAGTTCAGTGAGATTCTACATAAATGTGAATCCTGTCAATGGGTTCAATGAGTCTTTACATCAATTTGAATCGTATCTCTGAGTTCAGTGAGATTCTACATAAACATGAATCCTATCTATGTACCAGTTCTAAGCAAATAACGTTGTTATACTTTACAAAATTTACCCACGTTATTTTAAAATGGCCGACTCTTGTACACACTAATGTTTAATTTCTCACTAAGAGTATTTCAACCATACATCAAGTGTTTATGTGTTCCCTAGATACGGTATATTATTATTACCTTCATTAATAACATTGGTTATATTATTTAGTATCATAGAATGGCATTAATTTATCTTCTGGCCTATCGTTTATTGTTATAATGCCATTATAAGGATCATTCTGCATTTAAGTCTTAATATATGTATTTCGAACTAATTGTAAATCTTGTAAGCTGGCCAATTCTCGTGAGATATTATTGAGATTATAGCCTAAAATATTGTTAACGGTGAGGGTATCAACTGAAGAAATAGAGCATTTGAATCTTTATAATTAGATATATTGATGGCCAGGTTGATGTTTAGTTGCGTTGTAAGCTTGCTCTGATCAAAACTTGATTCTAATTTCATGTCTTGTTCTTTCTTTGCGATACCTGTGGTGGGCAGTGCACAGGTAGCCCATTGCATACCTTTGTGCTTAACTTCAGTTAATCAATCAATCTTCTTACTTATAGGGGCAGACTGAGATTAAAGCATATTTTCCAAGTGGAAACTGGTTCGACTTTTATACGGTAAGGTTATATTTAAAACTATTCCTATTTATCTGTTACTGGTAGTTATATTTTCACAGTGTATAGTATCGATTATTGAAACTTTTATACGGTAAGGTTATATTTAAAACTATTCCTATTTATCTGTTACTCGTAGTTATATTTTCACAGAGTATAGTATCGATTATTGAATTTTAAATAAAACTAAATACGAACATAGATCATAGCTCGAATAGAGAACACTCTATGAGAATCGTATATAAAGTTTCACACTTGCTCAAGCCTAATGACCAAGCAAATGCGAAAACAATTAATTAATTCAAAAGATAAGTGCTTAAACAGTTTAAAAGAGAGAAATTAACGCAAGTGAAAAACCCCATTATATCTCTTATTACATATTGAGTGGTAGGTTTAAGAAATAATGATGTTTGCTCTGATTAATAGTTACTTTCTTGAATGTCCTGATAGAATTTATGTTGCTCATTAGGGAAAGAAGATTAAGTCAGCTGGAGGCCGCCACATTTCATTGGAAGCTCCCATGTACAAAATCAATCTTCATATTCGTGGAGGACACATACTTCCTCTCCAGCAGTGCAATCTCACGATTAAAGACAGGTAAAAATTAATTGGTCAATTAGGCACAATATTGAAGGGGAGTATGTATTACAAGTACAATAATGGGTCGGTTTATTTTAAAGAAATACCTATTAAAACACAATAGCAATGTTTGCTTTGATATATTAATTTGTACAGGTATAATACTCCAGTCCTTTTGTATTAACGTCTCTGTTCGTTTGTTAATTTCCCGTAAAAATTCTTTCTGAAGAACTTCAGCGATACAAGTCCTTTCTTAAATAAAACTAGTTTATTCCTTCAAATTCTGTGTATTGCAAAGTTGTATTGACCACAGTCACTTTAACTTCAACACACGCTATCGTATATAAGCCGGCAAATAAAGTGACGGCGGAGAGATAATTGCAGACAGAGAGATATAGAGACAGATAATCGAGTCAAGCCGTAAGTAAAGTGCGTGAATCGTTGTGAATTCGAATATAGTATGCCTAGAAAAACCTAGAGTTGCGAGGAACAGTCACGATCTTTTTGGAACTCCAGCGCTTACTCCAAGCGTCGCGCGACTTCCGCTGTCGTAACAGTAGCTTAAAACAGTATTGTACAGCATATATAAAAGTTCTTCAAAATGTTTGTCTTTAAACTTTCAGCATAGCTGGTGATTGTGGTAATAACGAGAAATTTCTGAATTGCTATTTTTACACACCGCTGATTCTAAGTCACAACGGACAAATTAGAAGTAACATGAGAAAAACATCTACATTTAACTTCATTTTCAAAAAAACGTTTTATGCCTATTTGTTTCCAATAGTTTCACGCTTTTGGTGCTCTAACTGTAACTATAAAGTATTATACTGTATATAAAAATAGTGTTTTATAGTTTTTTATTCTCATCATTGAAGATTTCTGGTAGTGAACAAAAAGCTTCTTGGGTAGAGACTTGTGGGAGAAAAAAAAAGATCTAAAATGCTATTTTTACATGCCTCTAATATTGAGTCGCAATAGACAATTTAGAAGGAACGTTAAAAGACGTTTTTGACCTATTTGTTTCAAATAATTCGACGATTTTCGGCATTTTAACCTCACCTCACCTCTCCTCATCCAAGTGACTCAGTGATAAGTCTGCAAGCTTACAACGCTAAAATTCAGACCACAGATAGGTCTTTGTGTAGCTTTGTGTTTAACAAAAGCCAAACCACAGTTTTAACCATATATTTTAAAGTATGATATTGTGTATATAAATAGTGTTTCATATGATATAAGAAAATGATGATAATCTTTCAACTTCAATCTGAAAAAACAACAGGTGGAATAACCATTTGTCACATAAAAAAAAATACATTTTATCAAAACTTATATTGGTAGGTGTGTATATATAAAATGGTGTGAACATTAAAAATACAAAAAAATTAAGCCTGTAAAAAATAAACTAATATAATGAAAGAACTACAAAATATGCAGTTTAAATTAAATAATCTATATCAAGGTTTTATTCCTCGTCACCTTAACCCAACCAGCAGATTCTCCAGGGCCACCATTTTCCTGGTTGGCCACTGTGCGGGTCCTATGAATGTAATTGGCCTTAGTAAAGGCTCTTTCTGTATCAGCCAGCCTATACTGCAGGCAATGCCTTTCCATTTCATGCTGCATTGGAGGCATTACCCTCTGGAACATCCAATCTTCTTCCCAGTTTTAAGGAGTTCAAGCTTCAGTCGGTGGCAATCTCCTAGCAGTGCCTTTTAAGCTTTAAAATCTGCTTTATCTTAGTTAGCAGTCCCACCTTTGGCATTTTCTGAAACTTCTTTCAGTCATTTGGCTAGTGGGGCACCAAAAGTTGTTGAAGTATATGTCCTCCTTTTTGTCTGGATTGTGATTAGTCTTGCTAGCAATGTCGAAGCACCCTCATTCGCCTTAAACTCCCAGCCTGGTGGTAGTAGAGGAGAAACAGCTTGTTCACGTGTACCATGGCTGATGTTATGGTGAAAAAAGTAGAAATACTACATCAAGTGGTCGTTAAGTGCATGGTAGCATGCAATGTATAGAAATCTATCATGCCTCTACCTTCCTGACTACTCTTAAGAGGATCCAGGAAGGTTTTCTTAGGCAGAGAAATACAGGGTTGCATATCCTATCAGTGGATGGAACACATCTGGAATCACTGATGGGTAATGACAGTGTAATATTTGATGAAACATCTGACTGACAGGCCCAGTTTTTTCTCTATCACCTTGACATTCTCCTTGGAGTGGTAGGAACCGCAGCAACATTTAGGATTTTGGGTTGCTTGCAGGCTGCCATAACACCTTCTAAGATGGAGATGTCTTCAGACTTAGCAATGGCAGGTACATCCAGTAATAAAGGGGACAGCTTCGCCTCTATCAGCCTCAGGGCCAACACAGTAACAAGTACAGTGCGCTCTCCCATGTCCATTACATCAGCAAGCCACACAACTTCATCCAACAGTTTATTCATACTAAATGTTAGGCCAGTCCTGGGAGTTCTAGGTTCAATGATATCATTCGTCCCCTCACTAAAAAGAAAGTCCTCAGTGACTTGGAGGAATTCAAGAATAATGGAGTTGTCCATGGCAGAAAGAAAAGTTTGTGCGAGTCAAGCTGCAACAGGCAGGAAAACCACTGGCAAGTCGAGAAAGAGATACTGACCATGGTTAAAACTTGACCTTAAATACTAAAATTCCAGATTCAAATGCAAAATTGAATGAATTATAATTGGTCTATAGTACAGCTGAGTGTATAGATTAAAGGGGTTTGGAATGCTTGATCATTATTCTGAACTGTGGCTTAGATATTAATCAAACATTATTTCTATGTGCTTTGCATATACTCACACAAATTCTCCCATATAACATAAGAAACTTACAATCCATAATCTTGTATGGGTCTTCAACTGACCAACTACCTGTAGCTGTACTGCTCCCTTCTTCCTGCTGTACAGTTGTTACGTAGACAGAGTCCAGTCTCAGTATTTAGGAATGAGGTCGAAACTGTAATGGGTTTCCACCCACTCTGTCTGACTCGGGTTAAGCAATATCAACTATAACCCTTTTCTGTTAACTTTCATCAACTTCTAATGTCTTCCCTTCATTTATGACTTTTGTTTGATTTAAAAACTTTTCACCGCTAATCTGTTATTCCACATCACCCTAATACACTTATAACATGTATTTTCATGATTCAGTATTGCATCTTGTAATGAAACAACATTAAGAAAATACAGTAGACTCTCCCTATTAACACCATCTTTGGATCTGAATAAAAGTGGTCTTACTGGGGATTGACCAGTTCATTAATTAACTGCGAAATATTTGAATATTGAATTGCAATGTTGTGTGTGATATTTCTTTGCATATTGTATAACCAAATTATTAATAATTCTCGAATATGTTCTATTTTATTGTC